TGAGCACTACTGTGTACCAGACGTTTAAATTGGTCACCTCAATCAACAGTTCCATGAGATAAGTAGCATTGTGCCCATTTGCAGAGGGAGAGTTTTCAGCAAAGCTTTAAGAAAATGGCCAAGGTCATGTCAGCTACTTATAAGTTGGAGAGCTGGGACTTCTAAACCAGGAGACTCTGACTTGAGAATTTTAAGCTCAGTGGTGACCATATGTGAAATCTGAGTACAATTTAGCTGATAAACACCATCCGAGTAAAGCTGATCATCATTCCCACTAGACATCAGGAATGGAGACGGGGAACATATAAAAACTGACAGTCATCCAAGGAAAAGTCCAACCAATCATTTCAGGTTGCTAGTGAAGTCTTCTAAGGGTCTGCAATTTCAAACTATTTCTCCCAGGTATGCCACGTGGGCATGGACCTACAACACCACTGCCTAAGGGTCTCATTTGTAGGAAAAGGAAATTAAAGCCAGGAGTGATTGAGTTAACAGGAAAATGAGGTACAGCGAGGGGGAGACCGTGCTCCACCCAGACCCCACCCATGACTGGAAAAGCTCACAGATCCTCAGAAGCAAAGGTGCCGACTCTGGGCGCATCTCCACCTTCCCCCGCCCCTGTGCCTGCTGTCAGGCCGCCCCACGTCAGCTCTAAGCACTGAGCCTTGCTAGCTCTGGAGGCTTGAGCATTTGCCTCAGTTTTTGTGAGCCTGTTTCCACACTACCATATGACCAGGGATAATACCTATTGTTGCAAAGAAGGACAACTCGGTGGCCAGCATACAATAAGATTCAGGGCTTTCCTTTGCCCTCACCTGGGACCTGAGAGCACCAGTCAGGTGCACAGAGCAGTCTTTATGTGTGGCTTCCCTTGGACCAGAGCCAAGGAGAGAGGCCCTGGTTAGGTTTCTCCCATACAGACTCCCAGAGTGCATGGAGGGCCTCTTGCTCAGATGATGTGGCTGTGACAGGACTCCAGGGTGAGAGGCATCCTGTCTTCATTCCCAGCCATGCTGGGTTGGGATCTTACAGTGAGGGACACAGAGGACCACTCAGCCCTGGGCATGAAGTTTCTGGGCGAGCTGCAGGGCGTGTTGAGCAGACAGAGCAGGTGCACAACCAGGAGATGAGGCATGTGCAGGTGGGTGGTAGCCAGACTGATGGGTGGTCCAAAGCACAGTTTTCTTCTCCAGAGGTTCATGAAAATATCCCCTTCACAGAAATGATTCCCAGTCCTCACCATCAGTCAACACAATGGTGCCATTATTTCCTCTTTGCAGATTGAATTGAGCTCAAGCTTCAACCTCCCACAGTGTCCTGGCTGGTGGGACATGGATTTAGAGTATCAGCATCCCGACAGTAATCCGTCTGCTCCCCCTTCCATGTCTCTCTTGAGTGATGAGTGCTCTGGAGATAAACCTGAAAACAGGCTGTTATAGACACAGACGCATCTCTCAGATCTCTTGCCAGGGACAGAAAGCCCTGCTGCCCCGCTGAGGGGCATGTGGTCAGAAGCCAACAGCCAGCTGTCTATGTTTTCTTCTTTTTAATTGGTGCACTGCAGTGGGATTCATTTCGCTATATTTGCACATGTCCAGAGCGTAGTTTGCTCACTCTCACTGACCAGTGCCTTCCCGTTCCCTCCCCCTCTTCCCTCCCCCTCCACTTGCTGTACTCACAGATCTCCCCTCTTATTATTATTTTAATTTGTACATCATAATTTTGCATATAGAAACATATGTGTACATATGCATTCATATGGTGTGTGTATGTATCTATGTGTCTGTATATACACACATAGATGCACATGAATGTGCTGGATTCCCTTTGGTATATTTGTACCTGGACACAGAATGATTTGGTAGATTTAGTTCCCAGGTACTTCCCGTGCCCTCCTGCTTCTTCCCTCTTGATCCCCTACCTCCACTCCACTAATCTTCCTTCTGTTTTCACGAGACTCCCCTTTTCAAAAATACCTCTCTACGTATTTATCTCTACCTCTATCCTCTCTAATTTCCATGTATGAGAGACAACAACTGACCCACAACTTGCTGATTCTGGGTTAGTCCTTTATGGCTGAGTAAAATTCCACTGTGTATATATATCACATTTTCTTTATGCACTCATCTGTTGAGGGGTACCTGGCCTCGTTCCGTGCTTGGTTGTTGTGAATTTCACTGCTGTAAACATTTGTACGTGTATATTCCTATAGAATGTTGATTTTAGATCTTTTGGATAAATACCAAGGAGGAAGACAGCTGAAAGATGAGGTGGTTCCATTTCTAGTCTTAAGGAGTTTCCATACTACTTTCCAAAGTGGTTGTACTAATCTGCAGTCCCACCAACAAAGTATAAGTACACCTTCCCCCCATGTCCTGGCCAGCAATTAGCATCGCTGGTATTCTTGATGATTGCCAACTAATTGGAGTGAGCTAAAATTTCAGTGCAATTTTATTTGCATTTCCCTGACTGCTAAGGATGTTGAACATTTTTTCATACTACTTGTGGGCCATTTGTGTTTCTTCTTTTGAGAAATGTCCATTTATTGATTGATTTGGTTATTTGTTTTTTGTTTTTTTTTTTTTTTTCATGGTAAGTATTTTGAGTTCTTTACATTCCCTGTTGGAAGAGCAGCTAGCTAGCAAAGATTCTCTCCCATTTTGTAGGCTTTCTACTCATGTTTTTGTTTCCTTTGCTGGGCATAAGCTTTTTAATTTGATGCCATCCCACCTATTGATTCTTGGTTTTATTTCCTAAGCTTTAGGAGCTTTATTAAGGAAGTGGGTGCCTGCCAATATGTTGGAGTGTTGACCCTCTGTTTTCTCCTAGCAGCTGCAGTGTTTCTGGTCTAATTATTAGGTCTTGGATTCACTACAAGTTAATTTTACTGTAGGGTGAAAGGGATCCCAGTTCATTCTTCTACATATGGATATCCAGTTTTCCCAGCACCATTTGCTAAAAAGCCTATCTTCTTTCCAATGTATGTTTCTGGCAGCTTTGTCAAGGATCAGATGACAATCTATGTGGATTTGTCTCTGTGTCTTCTATTCAATTCCAATTAGTCTTCAAGTCTGTTTTTCTGCTGATGCCATGCTGTTTTTATTAGTATGGTTCTGTAGTATAATCTGAGAGCAGGAATTGTGAGGCCTCCAGCAACACTCCCGTTGCTCAGTATTGCTTTGCCTCTTCTGGGTCTGTTTTGCTTCCATGTGAATTTTAGTACTATTTTTTTTTGTAGTTCTGTGAAGAATGCCATTGGTATTTTGATGGGGATTGCATTGAATCTGCAGATTGCTTTTAGTAGTATGGTCATGTTGACAATATTAATTCTGCCTATCCAAGAACCTGGGTGGTCTTTTTCATCTTTTAAGGTCTTCAATTTCTTTCTTCAGTGTTCTATATTTTTTCACTAAAGAGGTCTTTCACTTCCTGAGTTTGATTTATTCTCATGGGTTTTTATTATTTGTTTTGTTTTTGTTTTGAGGCCATTGTGAATGGAATCATTTTTTCTGATTTCTTTATCAGCAAAATCATTGTTGGAGTATAGGAAAGCTATTGATTTCTGTCCATTGATCTTGTTGGATTTGTTTATCCAGCTCTAGAAGAGTTTTGTTGAGTTTTTGAGTCTCTTATGTATAGGGTCAAGTCATCAGCATACAGAGATAATTTGTCTTTGTATCCTTTTAATTTCCTTCTCTTGCCTAATTGCTCTGGTTAGAGTTTGAAGAACTGTATTGAATAGGAGTGGTGAGAGAGGACATCCCTGTCTTTTTCTTGGTTTCGGAGGAAATGCTCTCAATTTTTTTCCATTCAGCATGATGTTGGCTTTGGGTTTGTCATACATAACTTGATGATATTGAGCTTAGTTCCTCCTATCCATAGTTTCTTCAGTGATTTTAATATGACTATGTGCTGAATTCTGTTAAAGGCTTTTTCTGCATCTGTTGAGATGATCGTGTCATCTTTGTCCTTAATTCTATTTATGTGATGAATTTCATTTGTTGATTTGCATATTTTGAGTCAACCTTGTCTCCCTGGATGATACCAACTTGATAATGGTGCACAATCTTCTTACATGTTTTTGAATGTAGATTGCTAATCTTTTATTAAGAATTTTTGCTTCTATGCTTATCAGGGATATTGGTCTGTAGTTTTCTTCCCTTGATGTGTTGTTATCTGGTTTTGGTGTCAGAGCGATACTGATTTCATAGAATAAATTTAAGAGTGTTCCCTTCCTTTCAATTTCATGGAATAATTTGAGGAGCATTGGCATTAAAGATCTGGTAGAACTCAGTTGAGACTCCAACTGATCCTGGGCTTTCTTTGTTGGATAACTTTTAATTACTGCTTCAATCTTGTTTGCTTGATATTGGTCTACTTAGGTTTTCTATATCTTGTTGGTTCAGCTTGGGTATGTCATATGTGTCTAGAAATTTGTCAACATTATCTAGGTTTTTTTTTTTCAATTTATTGGAATATAAGTTTTCAAAATAGTCCCTAATGCTCTTCTGGATATCAGAAATGTCTACTGTGATATCTCCTTTTTCATCTCTAATGAAAATGGGTCTTCTCTTTTGAATTTTTGTTAGTTTGATTAGTTTTGTTTCTCTTTTCAAAGAACAAACTCTTTGCTGCAATAATCCTTATATTGTCTTTTTATTCTTTATTTCTTCAATTTCAACTCTGATCTTAATTTTTTTCCTGTCTTCTACTGTTTGGAATTAGTTTGTTCCTTTTTTCCCTTGGGCTTTGAGATGCAGCATTAGATTTGTTTACTTGAGATCTTTCTTTCTTTTTATTTTTTTCTTTAATGTAGGCACTCAATACTATAAACCATCCTCTTAGAACAATCTTCACAGTGTCCCAGAGATTTTAGTGTATTGTATCACTGTTTCCATTTGATTCTGTGGAATTTTCAATTTCTCCTCTCATTTCTTCTATGATTCATGTTCAATCTTCATGTTTATGTGGTTTCCTGTGTATTTTCTTGCCGTTGACTTAAAAATGCATAATTCTTCACAAATTTGGGTGTCATCAATACACAGGGGGTGTGCTGATCCTGTTACCACCACTCCAATTTTAGTGCATGTGCTGCTGACGTGAGCACCCCGGCTGTCTGTCCTTGACTGTAGGGGCTGCCCACTGTGAAATGGCAGCTGAGCCCAGGCCACGCCCTCACCACAGCAGAGTGTGGAGGGATAGGAAGCCAGCCATATCCACCCACAGCAGTACTCTAGTGGGAAAGACATGTCCCATAAGGTCCCGAAGAGGTGGCCAAAGCTCTATCAGGGCTGCATACTGGTTCAACTTCTGTCTCTGCCCAATCTTGCTTCCTCTCCTTCTTTCTATAGGTGCTGATCCCAATAAATACCTTGAACCCCCAATTCTGCCCAAAGACCTGCTTCCAAAGACCTCAGCCTGCCCTACAAATTATGGCACAAAGCCCTATTTGTAGACCCATTCTGATCCTAAGGGTGACTATAGCCACTCGCATTCTCGGGACCTAGGAGCTCAGGCCCTGTAAGGCACAGGCGGGTGAGCTCATGTGGGGAAAACAAAAGTCAGGACTGGGAGTCAGAAACCCTCCATGGGACTCCCGCACTGGGCAAGCCAGGTGACCCCAGTGGACTTTTTATGAAAATTGAGACTGAAGTTACTTCACAAGATCAATCAAGACAATGCAAATAAACATCAGAGCACATTTTATGATGTTCATTACTGTCATCCTGACAGGTCCCCTTAGGTCCATTACAGATGAATGGGAATGGTTTATTTGTGGTCTGGGAAAAATGTTCCTCTCTTCCCCAATGTCTCAATTCCCCTCTCTCTAAAGGAAAGCAAATGACATTCTTCTCCAAAAGTGTCCCAAGTCAGCATCCCAAGGCTTGCAGGAAAGCAAGGAACATTGTTATTCTTGAACAGCAGAGCTGTAGCATATAATTAAATCATTAAGAGGCAAATTAACTCCTCCAGCAATACTCTTCTAAGTATTTGTGGGTAAACCCATTAGTGGGGTGCCAGTAAATCCTGAGATTTCTGTGCCTGAGACTAAGCCACTATGGCATCTAAGGCAAGGGGAGGGGTGGGAAGTGTGGTGGGCAGGAGGTTTTGACCTCCTACAGAGATAGGAGGGAGGCGAAAGGTGGAGAATGGATGGAACCTAGGGCCATGTTGTGACTATACTTCAGAAGCCCTTTGAAAGTACAGCTGCCAAGTTTCCCTGACCTGCAGCCATCAATAAATCTATTCTCAGAAAAACCATCGAAGGGCTTTCGGTTTCTCATTCACTGGGTCCTCATCTACTGTCTTCCATTTTACTAAAATCATGAAGCTTGAATGGTTTTTGGAGAGGGCCTGCCTGGGATGATTACTGGGTAAGTAGGACATGTGTCTTCCCATGGGACACTTTGGAGCTATTTATTTATCAGGGTTTTCAAAATAATGAATATGAAGTTGGCTTCGATTTTGCAGCCAAATATATATTTATGCTATTGACTCAAATTCAGGCTGACCAATCTGCTTGGCTGTCTGTGTCCTTCAATTCATCTAGGCCTGAGTGTTTCCGTCAATATGTTGATCATTTATATGATGGCCCTGCTTAAACCATTTAATAAAATGTAAATAACATGAAAGTGTATTGGAAGTCAACATAACTCATTATTGCCGCTTATACACTCATCAAATCCTAGAGGGGGGTGTCTGACCTGATTGGAGGTTTCCTCCAGAGTCATACAATAATTTTAGCTGTGAAAGGAAATTTTACAGCATGTAAGATTAGACCACACTAATGCAAGGTCAAAAATAATAGAATCAATAGGTAAACTCAATACTGTTAACATTTTGAGAAAATTACTACCAGAAAACAATGTCAACAACAGATTGAAACGGGTCTCCAAAGTCGTCCCATTGATTTCCTCTCACTTTGGAAGCAATCTAACTCTCTCTTTTAAGCAATATAGAATTTTTTTTTAAACTCTTTCTCAGCTCTACTTTAAACATGGAGTATTACCTTTTTTTTTTTTTTTGACTGATGTCAAACATTGCATGTGTCAAAAAATGTACATGGTGGTCCATATCTAAGAGAACAGAATAGGAAGAGTTATTTTATCAGGCACAACCTTTAGTGTGCCTTTAATTTAGGGCTCAGTGGATAAATTCAGGAGTTATTTGAATTATAGCAAGGCATCCATGTGCAAATGTAAACAGTGCCATTATTAAATTATCAACTAAATAAAAATCTTATTCTGGAAACACACGGCCTTGGAACTGGTTTTCTTCTGCTGTACCGTCATCAGCTTTGATGTTGGTAGGGCATTTACCGTTTTACAGATCCATGTTCTTTAGCGTTGGTTGGCAGATCAGTTAGTACCATGAAGTCACAATGGAATTAACAACTCCAGCCCACCCCGCACTTTTCTGCCCCAGTCTCCCCGTTTTATTCAAAGGCTCCATCAGCTCCCATATCCCCATCACCACTGACTCATTCAAGCCAAAACTTTAAGAATTGTTATGAATTTTCCCTTCCTCTCTCCCACAGCCTATCCACCAGCAATTTCTGACAATTTTAACTCCAAATTATACTCTGAATCCACCCACTGAGCTCCATCTCTGGTGATTCACTGCATTAGCTTCTTTCCCAATCTTGTTGTTTACATTTTCTATCCAAGAGGCCATCACTATGACTTTAAAACGCAAACCATATTATTCTTATCCTTAAAATTCTTTCATGGGTGCCATTGCATTAATGTAAAGTCCAGACCTCCTCACCATGACCTTGCCTACCACTCCTTTCCCCTCAGTCTCCGTCCCTCACTTTCTGAGCTCCAGTCCTACTTACTGGTCCCCTTTTGACCCCAAACACACCAAGCTCAATAATATTTCAAACACTCTGCCTGGGATATTTCCCTCCCAGCACACCCTCCTCTGAATCTTAGTTTCCTCTCTTTAGCCAGGTCTCTGTTCTTCTAGAAGCGCTTTCTCTGAGCAGGTCGTCATATTTCTCGGTAACTGTCATGTCTCCATCATTTCTATAATGAGGCTGATGTTTACAACCACGACTCCGGAGTGTAAGAGGCAAGGGGAGGGAGAGTGGAGTGTGAAAGTCGTTTGCCCTAACATGTACTCCTTTTGTTCTCAGGCTTCACTCCCATGGAGAGCAGAAATCTCTTAATTTATGAATTAAAAGCATCGATGCTCTTTTCGTCAAGTTTTCTTTGGGGCTACCTTCTGAGCTTCCAGAGGTTTTCTCTAATCTTGGTGTTCCCATCTCCTTCTCAGATTCATCTGAATTACCAGGGAAAATCAGTTCCTCTTGGTGCCAGGAGGTCATGTCTGACCCTCAAGCTCTGATTCTAAATCAGTCCCTTCTTCTCATGGTCTGCAGGCTTTGCCCTCCGTGCTTAGTGAAAGGGCTGCTATGGAGCGTGGCCTTCCTGCTCAATGGGCCTTCCAGGATGGTGTCCACCAAGATGCTCAACAATTGTGGATCGCACCATCACCTCTGGAAATGAAGTCCTAGTTACCTAAGCTCCCCTCACCTGAGCCCAGTCTTCTAGATTGATAGCTCACTATCACCTTCTCTATCTCCCTTGTTCAGTAGTTGCTTGATTCCTCTTCATGGAGGGGAACGCAAGGGTCCTATGAGGCTATCGTAACAATCTACAGTGCATTAGTGCCCCAAGCCCATTATTGAGCTTCTCCATGGGACTCACATCCCAGTTATGTTTCAGATCAAATGTTGCAGGTGATGTCTAACCTAGAACCAGGATAGTCATGTCAGAATTCCCTGTCTTCCTCTCCTCACTTCATTTCTGGAATCCTTCTTCTGGTCACCCAGGTCTTTCCCCTTCCTATGTGATTAGAAATGTCTTGCAAGTCATGACCTCACATTTCTCGCACTTTGTGATCTGCCCATCAAGCCTTGGTTTCTGGGATACAAAAGCCTGGTTTGGGTGATACCCAGAATAGCAACACATCCTTGTAGAAGCCCAGCTTTTAAAGCTATCTTCTTACTAAATATCTATTTTGAAACTTGAAACTAAGAATTATAATTAAGATAATTAGATTTTAATAAGTGTTGCTTGAGGATTTTAAAATTACTATAATTTTTTTTATTTTGAAACCATCTCTAAATTGCAGGAAAGTTGCGCCTATGATTTTCCCCTCTGAACTGTAAGAGCAGGTTGCTGACCTGTTGCTGCAGACACCTTAGTTTATATTTCCTACAAACAAAGATTTCAATCAACCATCAACATCAGGAATCAAATACGAGACAATCCTACTAGCCAATTTTTAAATCCCAACTGTGTTTCTCAAATTGTCCTTTGCAGTAGAAGGATCAAGTTCGGAGTCCCCCACCATATTTTGTTATCTTGCCTTTTCCCTCTCTGGACTGGACCAGCTCCTTGGCCTTTCTTTGACTTGCATGACACTCTGGAAAATCATAAGCCTATCATTTTGTAGACTTTGCCCTTGGTGTTTGTGAGACACTTAAGCATCTTCTGAAGCCGTGAGTAAGAAGACAGACTCACAGGGTCCCATTCTGTCTCTACTGTTCCTGATTGTATGGTCTTGGGCAATTTACTTAAGCACCCTTTGTATAGGTCTCCTTGTCTGTAGAATGAAAGAAGTAGTCACACTTTCTTTGTGGAGCTGTTAAGACTCTTTGTTCTGCATACTCAAAGCCTGAGTTGTCTGGAAATTGGTGTCCCCTGGCTGTAACCCTTATAAATGACTGATGGTTACGAGGAGTATACATACCCCAGCTCCGTCGCTCCCGACTGGGACAATCTGAGTTGTGGCAACACTCTTAAGCTTCCCCGTGGGACACAACCCAAGTTACTCCCCAGGATCACTGGCATTACAGACATGTTTGGCCTGTTTCTCCTCCTGACGTAGTTCCCCGACTCCCCTTCTGATCTTTTCCGGCAGCACTTCCTAAGACATTTTAGGCTGAGCATCCTAATCCATACATCTGAAATCAGAAATATGCTCCAAAATCTGAAATAGTTTGAGTGCTGATATGAGGCTCAAAAAGTTCCAGATTTCAGAGCATTTGGAGTTTTGGGATTAGGGATCCTCAACTGGTTAAGTCAGTGCAAATATTCC